GCGGGGTCTGCCAGTAAAAACTCGAAACCCTTTTAAACCGTGAAATTATGGTCGGGTTCGATTTTCTGTCAGTTTTCTCTGACAAAAAAGAACTTAAACATCCTCACTCTGTGAATGTTTTGCGTTTTATACAGACTCATCTTCGCTAAAGGTCGCTTCTTTATTGCCGATTGACGCGCAAAGATTTGTATCGCGTCTTAGATTTTACAATGTCGTAAAATTTTACAGCTTTGTGGATCATGGATGTGATAGGATTGGAAATGTTTGTAGGTATAAACTAACGGAATAACTGTTGTTTGGATGGGTAACAATTTAGTTGTATTGGTTTCTAGGTTAACATACTTCTCTCAATAGATATTTTTTTTTGTATTTACCGAAAAACGTTGATAAACGGCGGCTATAACTCGGAAACATATTTATAGATAAATCGACCAATAGAAATATCTGTAAATTTTTTGCAAGTTCGAAAGTTGGCCGCTAGAGGTCGTAGCAACAACACATAAGTTAAAGTCCCTAGATATATAAAGTACCGCAATTGGTTTGTTCAATGTTATTGGCGCCAAAATGGCGGATTTTTGGGGTATTTCTGGAAAAACTGTAGTGGTAGGACTGTTTAAATGTCACATTTGTCTGAATTTGTCATGTCAAATGTTGAGAGGCTGTCAATTTCAGGATAAAAATATTTATCCACATATTTTAAAATAATTATAAAGCCACTAAAATGCTACAAATTTATTAGTTAATAATGTATAGGCGTCGATATCTTTAGTGAAGAAATGTGTATTACACGAAAAGGCCGCTTCATGTGAAAAATTTGATGTGTTTTCTAACATCGTCGATATTCAATACACGTTAGGTAGTGGATTGAATTTATTTATGCTCCAGTGAATATTTTTAACAATCTTATTTGTAGTATAACCTATTGGTACATAAAACTTCATTATAGAACAAGACAAGACCACTGAGAATAGATCTGAGAAGGTCGCAGTGGGTCAGGCCGAAATCAACCTCTAGAAATCTAATCTAGAACAAGACAAAGACCTTACTTGCAAACTACCATACATATCTTTTAAAAAGGATGCTAAGTGTAAGTGAAATCTCTACGTAATCATTCCCTAAAATGTTTAGTGTAGTTTAGTTTTCAACATTTTGCAGCAAGAAGTTTAGATAAATCTACAATATATTATCATCAGACCAAACGAAGGATAATTATTTAAAAGAATAAGTTATGTTATGATACATATATAGATTTGGATGACATCGCTTCAGGTGGTTTTACCAGTCAGGACTAACAGGGATATTAATCAAAACAATGAAAAAAAGCTCAAATAAATTTGATCCTAATAACAAGAATGTTGTTTATGCATATGCTAACTATATAGTTATTTTCATGGACTTAAATAGATTAGTTTTTATGTATTTATTGATAGTAATTAATATTTTTTGGTTCATATTGTAATTACTAATAGAAAGTAAACAATATAATGTAAGCATGTAAAGTTATATTTAAAAATTTGGTCTTATACTGTCAGTTATAAATAAAAGTGTGTGATTTAAATTTGATTTTTATACATGACATAAAATTGTTAAGATTCATTTGAAGTTTTACATATTGTCGAGGTAAAATTATTCCTACTTAATTTATGTATAACAATAATTACAGTTATTTCAATGTTAAATTTATAGCAGTATAACTTTTTTATTATAATGATACTTAAACATTATGACACTTGTTGTTTTAAAAATATAACATTAAATTGCAGAGTAAAATATATTTTAATTGTATTATGTGGTATTAACTTGCTTTTATTCAACTAATAATAAATTTGTTGTATAAAAACCACTCCATAACAAACCTTAATTATACAGCATACATAAAGAGCTCTTATGCATTTCAAGCTTCTTTCTAAGTTATTTTTAAATTAAGTGCACAATTACATACCTAAAATGCCGAAACTACCTGAAGTAATACTAATTGAAACAATCTTTCTATCAATATATTAATATATTTCAAAAATAGCAGGTATGTATCATATCAATTTAATTATTACATGTATTTGTTTCAACCATGGTTCAAAATTTTCTCGTATAAAAGCCGGCCTTCAAATTTAAGTTTGTAGCTTATTCATAGTTCCAAAGACTTTCGTTAAATCATGCTTATTTGTAAAAACTAACTACAGCATAATATACGTTTACTTATGGTATAGGTATCCCGTTCTCATCAACAAACAAAGTTTTTCCAATTGTTTCGACTGAATTAAGTACTAAAATTCTAAATGTTATTCCAACTTAATTTCTTCTTACCTATTAACTTACTTCTGTTGGCGTACTTTGCGCTAAAAGGTAACATAAAATAAATGCTAATACAAATGAAAAACACTTGTACGGAAACCATTCGTTTATAACCTCTTAACATATATAGGCCTAAAAAATTAAATTTATGAAATTGAATATTGATATACCACCTGATATTACGTTAAAATGAAGGTAAACTGTAGATAATAAACGTAATTCTATTACAATTAATAAATATTTTATTTTACGGCTTGCCTGTCAATGTTGGTCGGCCATATTGGCGCCGGACCGACCAGCCGCTTAAAAAGCCGAAACAGCGAAATGTTGGCCTCCTTTTTAAATTTGCCGCTAGTTTTGGCGCCAATATGGCGGTAATTGCGGTACTTTATATATCTAGGGACTTTAACATAAGTAAAAGTAAAAATAAATCTTAAGTGTTCTTACTCTGGCATTAGTCACGTTTAGTAAATTTAGAATCACATTAATAATGTTGTTCACTTTCATTAAACTCAATTTTACATTCTCCTTATTTATATTTTGCATCATTCACTTAACATAGTGATGCAAAATATAAATTTCTTTATAGAGAATTACATCTTTATTGGTACCTATTGTAGTTTGTAGATTGTATGGGAAAGGGAAAGTTAATCAAGTTAATCACAAAAACCTTATAGATCTATAGTTATAACTCATCATCTCAGGGCTTTGACAGAAGCTAGTACTTGAGATGGTTTTACAGAGGTTAGTTCTCCATCTCCGAAACCGTTTATGACACGAATGGTTGTCGTCTTGGCGCACTCAGTGATTAAGTGTTCTGGTGTTTCACCATTTTTTCCACAAAATCTGCATTCACCCTTGTTTCTTAGCTTCAATCTAGTGAGGTGTTCATTGAGGAGACCATGTATTGTTAAAAAAACCGTAAATCAATGAAAATCTTTGATTTTTCTCGGTCATAAGTCCTCAGAAATTGGTACCTATAAAAGGAGAACAAATTTTTAACAATTAAGACTGAACTTAAGTCTGTCAATTAAACAAAAATATTTTTATTTTTTTATATGCCTCAACAGCAACAATACTTACCCGACAGGTTAATATTGTATGTGCGGTATGCACTGAAAAATCTTAAAGCCCTCAATAATAGCATCATCTGTGTGTCTTCTTTCTCTCTGGATTGTTCACTATCCATATTTTGGATCCTGTGTCCAATTCTGCATCAAATTCAGGCTCCTCTGATCTTTTACCCTGATTATTTAGAAACTAATAATTAAAAGCCTTGCTAACCATGTTAGAATTATTCTCAGAATATGAATAGAGTTACTGACATTCTTTTATAACTTCCTTCCACTTTTTTTGTGAATATTTTTCAAAATGATTGGTCTCTTTCTTTCATCTGTCAACGATTTTGAATCGTCCGACTGGGAAATTGGAAAATTTATTTTGTCACACAAAGTTATCATGATTTTTCAAATACTTCTTCCTTAAAAACTTATCTTAATGTAAAGAAATTTTTGTGCCAAAATATATTGCCATTGAGTTTTTTTTTCAGGATTTGTTGATTAAAGTGTTTGAAAAACGATGGTAGCTTTAATCGACAAAATAAATTCGCCAATTTCCCAGTCAGGCGAATCAGTCACAGAGGAATAAAGTGAGAAACAAGCAACACAGAATGTTACAAAATTTGTCAATAATCCCCTTCATATTGTGAGTAATTCTGGTGATTAAAATTTAAAAACAACTTAGACATATCTGTGAAAATGAAATAATCTATTTTCATTTTAATTTAGTTCCTTATTTTTGTCTCATAAGACGGAGGAGAATTACGCTTAAAATTACTTTTGTTGTTTATTACTGTTAGTTTTTTGTTGGCTAGATAAATTTGTTTATAAATGAGTTTTCTAGTCTTTCTGCTTTTCTGATTTTCGATAGATCAAGAAGTTATGTTGGTTATAGTAGAGTGAAGAAAATAAATAAATGAGACCATTGCCATGACAAAATCTCCTAAACGCTTTATAAAGAATAAAAAAAGGTCAAAAATGTACCTGTTTTTTTTTTAGAAAAATTCCCTTTCTTTCGTCATCTATAGGAAACATACCGAAAACAGAGACCCTTTTTATAGCCCCTTTACATGCGATCTTACCCTATGCTTAAGCATGTCAAAAAGGGATTCCCGTTGTTTTTTTTTCCATTATTCCTCTGGGTCACGAAAAATCAACCGAAAAAACGTCCAAATAAATTTCGAATTAATAAAATTGCCTGGAACGCTTCTTGAGATTTCTGTTTTGCTTTCCTCCTTTCGGGAGGTGAAGTATTTTCGGTTTCCGTGTGGCACTGGATTTAATAACTCTACGTTTATTAAGCTCTCCATGCCGGGAAGTAGTGGAGTTACTAATCGTTGAGTTTAGTTTCCACGATATTTGGTAATTTTAGGATATGATTTCTGAGGTTTTTCCTGTTTTTGCTTCAAAATAACTAGGTCAGTAAGGGTGTTTTACCTCTCCAATTATATTTAACAAAATTAATCCCAGAAGTTGTCCGTTTTTCCAAAATAAAAATACTACTACTTGAAATGAGAGACGAAATTAACGCCAACTTTCGCAATGTCATTATTTTTTTCTCTACAAAACGACGCACCTGTATTTTTCAATTATTAATTATGTTCAACCTTTTAAACCTTAATTCTAACCGCCCGCTTTTGTTGCTTTCAGGATAGACACGTTAAAGATTCGCCCGGAAGTGCGATGGACCGGGAACCGGAAGTGGACCCCAGCCAGGACTATCAGCTGTTGCTGGGCTACGAGAATAGCACTCACACGGTGCTGCGATTCAGGAGGCGACTGGACACTTGCGACCATCACGACATACCCATTACGGTAAGTGGTCTATATTATCGTAAAATATATTATAGCTACACTTAGCTGGAATTGGTTTAATCGATTTTTAATGAGAATGTGCGATAAAAATGGTAATTTAAAAAGTTTGATGGTTTCAATTTATTTATTATGCCTGTTATATAATTAATAACTTTTGTAGTTTGATGCAATCCAAACTTTTTTTATTTTCTATAGTTTTGTTCATCCTTTTAAACAATTGAGCAGGTTCACTCTATTAGCTTAATTGTTACTTGAGCCAGTACTTTTTGAAATAGGTATCAGTTTCTTTAATATGAATATACTTTATAAATTCAAATTTCTTTTTTTTAATGTTCCACCAAAAGGAAATGTAAAAAATGCTGATAAATGTGAGAAATATACTAACACTGTACAGGGGTGTACACCATTTTCGTGTGTTTTGCAAGGCTTCTCTGTTATGAGTAGAGATACAAAGATGCGGTTTTCACAATACGAGCTTTTGCCTTTTCGATAAGTTATAAGACAAACCAGAAATTAACAGTAGAATTAAGTTAGCATAGAATACTTATGGAAGAAACTGAATCATATTCATATCTAGAATGCCACTTTGTCTAAAGAAGAGAACAGTCGACCAATGTGTACTACCCGTCATGACCTATGCATGCGAAACCTGGACCCTTAAAAGGAACATTATAAGGAAACTGCAGATCGCACAACGCTCAATGGAACGAAATAGGCATAGAGTGGATACGACAAAAGGACCCAGGTGATAGATGTCATCCACAGAATCAAATCCCTCAAGTGACAATGGACAGGACACCTGGCAAGAAGGACAGACAACAGATTGACCATAAAAATTACAGCATGGTACTCACGAGGAATCAAGAGACCTAGAGGAAGACCAAACTTGAGATGGGACCATGATATTAGGAAATTAGCAGGGATAACTTGGGCCCGCATAGTCAACAATAGACCATAATGGATCCAAACACAAAGAGAGTATCTAAATATGTGATGGAGGCTACACCATAATTGGAAATAGTTGATAAGTTGAAACTGATGATGATGATGATATAATATTCATCCTGTTTTAGTTTCGTAAAAAAGTGGCACAATAACAACTAACGCATAAGATAACAACCCTGTAAAACATACAAAAACGGGACACCCTGTGCATGCTATGGATGTGATCATATCGCAATTCATTTAAATATAACATTTTAACAAGACTATCTTTTCCACACTTAAAAAATTCAATTCCCCAGAAAATAATAAAATTAAACTCATTTTGTATCTCTCAATTAGCCACTTCTAAAATTACAGTGGCTTTTTGTAAACAAGAAGGCAAGTTTGCCAGCTCTAATTTAAGTCGCAACTCCGTATTTACTCATTAAAAATAAGTCGATTATTTACCTCTCGTCTACAAAGCTACATAAACTTCCGTGCAGCTGAAGAACTCACTAACAAACCCATATTTTTCTACGGCAGTTATATTTCTGTAAAAAACAAAATTTCTAATTAAGAAAGGTAATTAAATTATTTTTGCTAGATTAAAAAGAATAAGGAAGAAATGAAATAAATAAAATACACATCAGGATTATAATTTATTGGTTAATCGTGGTGCTAGGTATTCTTAGAGCAGCCTCGTATATTATGAGAAGAATTCGTTCTATCTATATTTTTACCTGTCGTAAATTTTAGAAATTTATGAGAGTTTTAATGGGATTTTGGTGCAAGAATTTGGGTGTGCATTTTTTTAATCCTTAAAATAATTTATATCCGACCAGATAGTTATTTTGTAATAATTAGTATATTTTACTTTTGAAATATTGCATTGGGAGTATTATATTTCTATGGTATCCTAGATCATTAAGAACAATTAAACTGGATAATTTTTTTCATCCATATCATTGTCGTGTCCTGCCCATATTGCCACTTTAGTAATTTAATTCTGTTCTGAATATTACCTGGGCCTTTTGTCGTATTTACTCTATTCTTTTACGGTCTTTCTTAGTTATTCCCAGCATATTTCGTTCCATTGAGCGTTGTGCGACATGCAGTTTCCTTATGATATCTGTTTATGTGTCCAGGTTTAGCATGCATTGGTCGTGACTGGTAGTACACATTGTGTAAAATACCTTTTTTCTGGGGCTTACTCAACCGGGTCTCACAATGCAAATTCAGGGGCAGACTCTCATTGTACATGAAAATAACAAAACAAACATTTGCTGATCTGGATAAAATTGATAGTTAAATAGTAAAACACACTCGGGGGTACTCCGCCTCCTAGCCACTGACATTCTGTTTAATATATTCCATTCCATATCTTCCATCTAATCCAAATATTGTTCGGATCTACTGGGTAATCTTCAACAACCAGCTGGTGTCACCTAAACTTAGTATAGGGGCTTCCCCCGGACGCAAATCTGCCGCTAAACAGATTCGCATCCCTAATAGTCATAGAGACTCGCAACCTTAATAGTCATAAAGACTCGCATCCTAATAGTCAAAAGACTCGCATCCTTAATAAGCTTAAAGACTGGCATCCTAATAGTCAAAAAGACTCGCATCCTTAATAAGCTTAAAGACTCGCATCCTTAATAATCTTAAAGACTCGCATCCTAATAGTCAAAAGACTCGCATCCTTAATAAGCTTAAAGACTCGCATCCTAATAGTCAAAAAGACTCGCATCCTTAATAAGCTTAAAGACTCGCATCCTAATAGTCAAAAGACTCGTACACTTAATAGTCATAAAGACTCGCATCCTAATAGTCAAAGACTCGCAACCTTCAAATGTTAGCTCTGTGACAAAACACAACACAACACTACTTTTCAGCCGGCCGGCCCGTATACTACTGACTCGCCGGCAAGCTAAGCCTGTCCTCTTACATCACAATTTTACCTGATCGCAAATATTTACATCGCTTGCCGATGAATCATACTATTGTCTCTAATTGGCTTTTAAAATAGAGTGTTTTAGCATTACTAAATAAATAAATTTAGAGAGTTTCCCCGAAGGAATGCATATTCTTTGAATAGTGAATAATAAAAGCATTATTATAACGAACTTATTTTCCAAGTTTTACAATTGGTCGAATGTTTTCTTTTTTAAATAAAGTGCCATTCTAGATATAAATCTGATTGAGTTTCTTTCATAAATACTACATTTTAACTTATTTTTTCTGCTAGTAGAGACCGACAGTACGCTCCAGTAGAGCTGTGTATTAGTTATCCCAAATATATGTGTTCTTTTACTATTTCCATTTTTTTGTTATTTATTATTATCTGGAAGCAATTAAAAAACGTGCGAGAAGAAATAAAGTTTTTAATAATCTACCCTTGCGGTTAAAGTACTATTTTATCTACTAATTTTGATAGATATAAGGTAATTTTAACAGTTGCTATGGAAAAGAAATTGTTCCATACAAAAAGCTGATTTATAGTTAAATTTAGCTACTTTTATATAAATTAATTACTTTTATATTTTTTATCTCGCCAATGTATTTTGCACTTTAAAATGTGCATTCGATATAACCATATTTGTGCATATACTAGATATATGTATAATTTAAATTGGACAAATTATAAATATATAATGTTTTTCGATGCGTTTTGTTGTAATTATTGCACGTTTTACATTAAAGTTATTACTAATTAATGTATATATTTGAATTTATTTTAATTGGGGCATATTCATTTTAAATTTTTGTCGAATATTATGCGGAAACAAACTAATGGCCTCGTTAAAGTAATAATAACGATTCTTGGTAATTTCCTATGATATAATGGAAACTACTATTTTAATATATCAAATTTTAATGGTTTATACGTATAGATTCTAATAATATGCAGTTGTTGGTAAATAATCCATCATTTTACAATTTGAAATTGTGATGTTTTAAAGTAGGTAATTGGTGAATTTCAGGCGGGACTGTGTGCTATAAACCTTTAGGTATTATTTTTGAATATTGAAAATCTATCGATTAGGGTATCAAACGATATTTGAAACAAAATAATCATTTTACATAGGTTGACAATATTTTTTGAAATTCCTTTTAAAGCATTGTACGCTATATTGTATGTAATATTTTAAAATAATTATGACTTGAATATAAAATTACAGTTGGGGATTGGAACCTTGAGTGTTACCATAGCAAAATAAAACACTATTCACCACAATACACCAGAACGCTTTATTTTTGCACTGTAATCACTGTTAATCACTCAAAAAATTAGTTTTAATCATCTGCTGATGATGCTATGGTTAGCGAAACGCAAAAGTGCAAAAGTAAAGTATTTTGGTGTATTAGGGTTTGCGAATTAGTGTTCTAGCTGAAAGCTTAAAATTAACTAAAAAATGGCTACTTTTTAATTCGTCATTAAGGTGCATCTATTCTCGATAGTTTTAATCCATCTCTATAGTTTTTTTTTGTTGAGATGAACAACATTTTTAGCATAAACAACTATAAAATTTCTAGATTTATGACTAAACTTAATTTAATGTTTTATGAAAAAAATAATATCAAGTAGACAAGGGTCGAAATAAATAAAAAAAACTTTTTCGGAAATCTGAACGAACTGAATATAATCGCTTCAAAGGCTTGGACACGTGGCTTGGCCCAAGACCAACGAAACTTCCCAACGAAATAACTTTCCCTACCTAAATTTATCCAGTTCCGAAGGGACAAGGGCACCAGAAAGATTCTCCCAAGAATCCCTCCCCTCTCCAAAAGGGAACATGGAGGTTATATACCGGCGTTATTCTGGCTAATGTCAGCGCGGCGTGCCGAAGTTTAGCCAATAAATTTACAATTTCAAATTTGGAGGCTTGATAAAGTTTGGCACGGTAACGACATCCAGAGGTTCTGTCTTCCTGAATAATTAAAGAATAATCCTTTTGAGGATCGACGTGGCGCAGCCTTCGTTCTGAAGGACTTTGCCTGTAAATATTGACCGGCGGAGATTGGCGAGAGGTCAATTTTGGCGATAGAAACGATTACAGTTTTGCTAGTTTCGTGAA